CCTCTTTTAGCGCTTATGTCCCTGTAACCACAGTCTCCTACTCCCTCACTGAGATCACTGTCCAGTACTTCCCACCCCCCACCACCGCCTCCCCACCCTCACCCCCACCATTTCCTTCCCCTCCTCCCTTTCCTCTCTCACCACCGTCTCCCCCCTCCCCCCACCGCTGCCATGAAGCCCACCATCCCCTCCTCCCTCCCCACCACCATCCCCAGTCCCCCTCAGCCCTCCCTCCCCCTCCCTCCCCCCTCCCCCTCCCCCTCCCTCACCTCCCCACCTCCCCCATCTCCCCCCATACCCACCTCCCTCCCCTCCCCCCTAGTCCCACCCACCCCCCGCCACCACTTCCCGCCTCAGTCAACCTGCTAATGGAAGGCAATGCGACCCTTGATTTATATTACGAAGGAGCTCCTGAGACGACGTGCCTCGTGGTCCCCACTGAGAAGGATCTGGAATACATCTGTTTGCAAGCCACCGGCCCAGACCTCCTCAAGTGGAACGTCACAGTTCAACGGTATGCGATTACTATTTCTTTCTTTCTTTCTTTCTTTCTTTCTTTCTTTCTTTCTTTCTTTCTTTCTTTCTTTCTTTCTTTCTTTCTTTCTTTCTTTCTTCAGAATGACCAGAATCCCTTGAAGCCCATCAACCTCGTGGTCCCTTCCTCAAACACCGCAAGTACAATGCCTCAAACACCGCAAGCACAATGCCTCACCGCAAGCACAATGCCTCAAACACCGCAAGCACAATGCCTCAAACACCGCAAGCACAATGCCTCAAACACCGCAAGCACAATGCCTCAAACACCGCAAGCACAATGCCATGTAACTTTTCATCATCGCTCTTGATTGGATCAACATGTTGATCGCGTGATGCGGACTTATCCTCCTATTTCTCCCTTGAAATCTCAATTCGCTGTCAGAGGGGTGCTAGATGCGATTGGTGGATGCATATGAGAGGACACGTAGTTGAAGCAAAGAGCAGTGTCGAGCTTCTGAGCTGAGTGCCTGGATGTGGTTCCGGGGATACGGTAGTGGCCAGAACCCAAGCTTTTGTGGGTTTGAGGCATTGGGCCTTTACCTGGTGCATGGGATTAAAACCTATAGCGAAGCATCAGGATTATCCAGCACCTTGGTGCGAGGTACAATCCTGCACTCTCTCCCACCACCTCCACCTAGCCCTCCCCCGCTGCCTCCTCCCTCTCCACCTCCATCCCCTCCACCTCCTCCAAGTCCACCACCTCCCTTATCACCGCCGTGTCCCCCATCACCTCCGCCAAGTCCACCACCTCCACTTCCACCTCCACCAAGCCCACCTCCTTGGTACGAAGGTAAGTGCTCCTCACCCGACTTGGCTCTTCACGCTCCGCACTGGCCGTGCCTTTGGGAACCTAAAACCCTCGTGGGTTTAGCTCAGCCTCTTGGCCACGGACCTCTGAACAATTGAATTCTATAGCAGGGGGACATAAGCTTCTGCCTACCTCGGCCACGGACCTGTGAGCAGTCCATCCCTTTGGGGGCTAAAGAGCTATAAAGAGTTGTATTTACAGCGCCTTCCTCGAGATACCGTGTTTTCACAGGCGCTCTCAAAGTATTTGATTTGCATCTCTTAAACGATTGTATATGCAGCGCCTCTCTCAAATTCCCAGGCTTCTTTTGATGGCCTCCATTTGCGCACTCCTTGTATGTTGGGCTTCAGAGCTCCAAGCTCTGGGTTGGTTTTAAGAATTCTTAGTGCAAAAGAATTCCTGGCTGGTTAATTTTATTTTATGTTTTATTTCTATACTTGAAATTGGAGGGCCAGCTACTTCTGAAGCTTCCACAGCGACCACATTGCATGCTTTCATTGAGCACCGGTGGTTGGTCGTCGTAAGTGTGGTTGGTCGTCATAAGCGTGGTTGGTCGTCATAAAGCGTGGTTAGTCGTCATAAGCGGGGTTGGTCGTCATAAGTGTGGTTGGTCGTCATAGCGTGGTTGGTGGTCATAAGCGGGTTGGTCGTCATAAGCGGGGTTGGTCATCATAAGCGTGGTTAGTGCGTCATAAGTGTGGTTGGTCGTCATAAGAGTGGTTGGTCGTCATAAAGCGTGGTTGTCGTCATAAGCGTGGTTGGTCGTCATAAGCGTGGTTGGTCGTCATGAGCGTGGTTGGTCGTCATGAGCGTTGTTGGTCGTCATAAGCGTTGTTGGTGGTCATAAGTGTGGTTGGTCGTCATAAGCGTGGTTGGTCGTCATAAGCGTGGTTGGTCGTCATGCGTGGTTGGTCATCATAAGCGTGGTTGGTCGTCATGAGCGTGGTTGGTCGTCATAAGTGTGGTTGGTTGTCATAAGCGGGGTTGGTCGTCGTAGCGTTGTTGGTTCGTCATAAGCGTGGTTGGTCATCATAAGCGGGGTTGGTCGTCATAGCGGGGTTGGCGTTAGTCGCGTGGTTGGTCGTCATAAGCGTGGTTGAGTCGTCATAACGTGGTTGGTCGTCATGAGCGTTGTTGGTCGTCATGTGGTTGGTCGTCATAAGTGGGGTTGGTCATCATAAGTGTGGTTGGTCGTCATAAGCGGGGTTGGTTGTCATGAGCGTGGCTGGTCGTCACAAGTGTGGTTGGTCGTCATAAGCGTGGTTAGTCGTCATAAGTGTGGTTGGTCGTCATAAGCGTGGTTGGTCATCATAAGTGTGGTTGGTCATCATAAGCGTGGCTGGTCGTCATAATTGTGGATGCGTGCAGTCTCGGAACTGAGCAATTATTGTTTGCTCTAAATGGTGCTCGCAGTCTCCGATAGCGAGGCCAGGGAGCAAGAGGATGACCCAGACTTATGGGAGGATGCTAAATTTATTTATGCTATAGTGTTTGGAACATGTGCAGTGGCTGTGCTAGCAGTGGGTAAGCGACATTCACTCCTTGACCACACACTTGACCCTTGGAGTCTGCAAGCAGTGCGGATGGCACGTTGTGCACTGCTGCACTCTTCAAAGCATTCAAATCAGTGTTGAATAGGGTCCTTCATGATTTGTTGGCAACCTTGAAATAGATATATTCCTTTCGAGCAGTAAATTCCTCACTCCTCGTTGCAGAGTTCGCTTTGTGTGCAAGTTAGAATTTTGAGCTCTTTGGTAAATCCGATAAAGACGCGTGTCCGAAGATCCCAACTGCCATTGTCCCATTCACCGCCGCCTTATTGCCGTGGTGTTTTTGGTTGCAGGTGTGGCAATGGCTGTGTACCATGAAACTGTGTACATTTTTGCATATCCATACGTGCGCGGCGGATACCGCTTCATGATCAACTCAATCGAATTTATCAGGGGACCTGAGAACTCCATCTCGGCTAGACATTGGGGCAGTAAAGAATGGAAGATTCAGCCCGAAGGTGTGGCTCTGCTTTAAATACTACAAAGATGTGTGTGGGTTGTATCATATTTTTCTTCTGGTCGTATTGCCTATGCATGAGTGCGATACGTGGGCCGTTTAGATGGGTGCCCTTGTCTTCCTGTTGTGTATTGATGAAAGCACGCTTATGATTCATCGAAGGAAAGGAATAAGCATGGTGGTGCTCTTTGCTATTGGCATCCTATTCAAATGCTTCGGTGCTTATTGAAGGTTTGTTATGGGGGGCAGAAAGTCAAATGGAAGCATTCTTCTTGCAAGCAAAGTCAAATGTGCCAGAGCCCTAGCGAGGAAAGTGATCGGAGGTGTATACACTGTATAGCATGTATAGCATGTCTTTCCATCGCTCACAATGTTTTTCAAAAGGTGCACTGATAATGCATTTCTTTAAAGAATGATGACTTGATCTGAGGGTCAGCAGTTAGGCCTCTCTGGCTGGTGAGCATTTTTTGTCTAATTTATCAAATATAATACAGAAAATGGGGCACAAAACAGGCACATAAAATTACGTCCCCGACTAGTGAGGTACAAATGGGGCAAAAGGGCCCATATTGGGACATGTCCCAATATTTGTCGGACACATATTGGGACACTTTGACACATATAGGGACACTTCGACCCATATATGGACAGTGGGGACACATATTGGGACATTTTGACCCATATAAGGGCAACGCGGCATACAAGCGCGCCGCGGAAGGAATATGCATTAGCTGGATGTCTGATCAGCATCTTATTATTGTCGTGGATTGGACGGAGATCGCATATATGCATGTGGCATTCTCAGTACATTTTTTACTCGAATAAACCTTTTTTGAATTCGGCGAAGATGCCATCTCAGGTTGCTAGCCGTACGCGTCAACGTATCTAATTATATATTTATATAATTGTTCAATAATTATAAATTCTGGCACAGACGATGAATATGTGGGTATTTCCAAAACCCACTGCGCAAGGTGCGACAAGGTCCATAGCCATTAAATATATAAATCGGGGCCGCGTGCGGCACCAACCTTCGTTTGGAAGGTTGCTTTTTTTCAATTGGTGTACAATAGCTACTTGCTTCACCGAAACCGGCGACTTTCGTTTATATTGTCAGATGAAAATGTCACCGAACACGATTGCTCGATTTGGGTTTCGCTTTTGCATCTTGAACTTTTTGCTGGGGGAAATGATAAGAAAATTCAATTTCAAAATTTAAATTTCTTCTTGTCAAGACAACCGTGTACACAGGATCCCCCCGCCCGACAACCGTGCGACACAGGATCCCCCCGCAAACTGTAGAGTACATCTAACGCCGGCGGCCTGTCTTTGATTTTTTTGAAAATAATAAAATTTCGAGACGCCCCGTGAGTTCACCGGCAATGAGTTAACCCACCATTTTCTTTGCCGGAACGGGCCTGCGATCAGCTTAAGGCTGCAGGATAATTTATCGCTTATCGCATCGCATCGCGTCGCACATCGCAACGCATCGCGTCGCGCATCGCATCGCATCGCATCGCGTCGCATCGCGTCGCGCATCGCATCGCATCGCGTCGCGCATCGCGTCGCCCATCGCGTCGCCCATCGCATCGCGTCGCGCATCGCATCGCATCGTATCGCATCAAGCTCATCGTATCGATATTCGAATCAACCAACCGGGATTCGAACTCGGGTCTCTGCCATCCAAGGACATAATTCTACCATTGAGACCATTATAGTTTTACTTTGCAAACATTGGTTCCTGAAATTGATTCGTTCATATTTCCAGATTTTGCATTTTCGATTTCCGATCCATGTTCGCTTTTAGATTTTGCATTTCGCATTTTCGATTTCAGATCGAACATCGCGAATCGATCTGTTCCGACACGTCGGGGAGGGAGCGAAGCCCCCTCCCCCCGAAGGAGGGCTAGTTCTCCTTTAAAGATAGTACGGTTAGTAAGTAAGTAAGTTGGTTGGTACGTAACGGGGGTACCCCCGCGCGCGCGACCCCGAATCACGGTTTGATTCGACATGGAGAGGGGTCCGGAGGGCCACGATTTCGGAATTTGATCAAAGGGGGATTTTTCCCCATCTTAGGGGTAGGGTTTAGCCCCCATCGCATCTCGACGTCGCGTCGATCGCATCGAATTTTCGATTTTCGATTTTGCATTTTCGATTTTCGATTTTCGATTTTCGATTTTCGATTTTCGATTTTCGATTTCGATTTCCGATTTTCGATTTACCTTCACTAATGCCGCATCGAAGTTATATATATATTGAGGAAAAAAATCGACGATGAAATCGAAGATTCCCCCTCTTTTGCTGAAAAATCGGGGGGAAATTCAGTCCCTTTAACAGTGCAAAAATTGACGCCCAAATCGTAGGCTGTACACGACACATTGTATGCTGTATCCATATTACATCAATTGAAGCCCAAGTGTAGTGTATATAATTCTTGAAATGATTTTGCATATATAAATTAGGTCTTCATTCATGCAAATTCCCAGAAATGCTTGCAAGGACGGATGAAATTCAGTCCCTTTAACAGTGCAAAAATCGACGCCCAAATCGTAGGCTGTACACGACAGCGTATGCTGTATTCATATTATATAAATTGAAGCCCGAGTGTATTGTAAATAAACATTTCGGAATAATTTTGCATATATAAATTAGGTCTTCATTCTTGCCAAATCCCAGAAATGCTTGCAAGGACGGATGAAATTCAGTCCCTTTAACAGTGCAAAAGTTGACGCCCAAATCGTAGGCTGTACACGACAGCGTATGCTGTATCCATATTATATAAATTGAAGCCCGAGTGTATTGTAAATAAAAATTTCGGAATAACTTTGCATATATAAATCAGGTCCTCATTCTTGCCAAATCCCAGAAATGCTTGCAAGGACGGATAAAATTCTGTTCGGTTGTGAGGACTGAACCAGTCTCACAGGTATGCAAGCAAACACTTACAGGTAATATGGTGCAGAGACCATAGGGTGATATCGGATGACATTGGGTAATGTCGGATATTTCGGTTATTTCGGTTAAACTTTCACTGTTTGAGGTTACAAGACACCAGAGGTTGGTGCCAATGTGTAACTATATCAAAAACTGACATGAGAGCTTGTTCAGCTCTTTAAGTAGTAACATGTCGACTCGAATTCCCTCAGATCTCTCCGAATTCGACAGTCACAGTGCTCAGTCACTTCATGTTCACATATCCGATGACCTGTCTTGTCATTTAGCCCTTGGGCTGCAGCTGCCAGTCATACAATGATCTCTGCTCTGATTTGCTGAATAATCATATATCTGATGATGTGGCAAGAACTGAGGCTCTCCTGGTTTCCCTCCAGTTCTGTTTGGCTGTTTGAATATAAAATGGTTCCCACCATTTCTGGAATGGTTTCCCACCAATTCTCTCAACCTGATCTGCTGTGGTTGCAGATGTTCAAAAGTCACATGCTGTCAGTCACCCTCGTCATACCTCTCGGTCATACTGATGACTGTCATCGGTGCTGTCACTCGTCATTCTGGCACGCCTGTCTCTCGTCTGACTCGCAATACACCCTAGTACAACTCTCCCCCCCTTTTCGGCGCGCCTACGTCCTCGCTAGCAAGGCTGTCCTGCGTGCCCTTATGTACATAGTCAGGGGGGGTAGCATGCACTTTGTGACAAGATCGGGCTGCTAAGCCCTCGGTTCTTGGGTCCGTGCCCCCCAGTCCTCGGGTCCGGGTCCCCCTCTACGGTTCTTGGGTCCGTGCCCCCCAGTCCTTGGGTCTGGGTCCCCTTCCGCAATCCCGGTTCGCCGAAGGCGCCTCACCGTCTCACGCTGCCAACGCTCATCAGGTTTGGCAACCCCGGCACTTCCCCAGATCACGGGTCTTCCGCGGCCATTGCGCCCCGTGGCTGACCAGCCCCGGTATCTTGAAACTCGAACGTGTCAGTCCTCGCTGTCAGCGTCGAAATGAGGTTCATTAAACGACCATATCACAAAAATGAGACACGCGGGTGTCTCATTATATTCTCATTTTTTGAAAAGTTATGATAACGAGGTTTTTTTTATATGACTAAATAGTATTTGGAGAGTAGATAATGACACGTTATTTCAAAATTTGAAATTTTAGGGTATAGCCCGAAATTTTGGGTTTCCAGGCGATTTTTCGCCCCGTTTCGGGCGGTGCTCAGGTGTCAATCGGCGGAAGTTATGATAACGATGTTTTTTTTTATATGACTAGATAGCATTTGGAGAGTAGATAATGACACGTTATTTCAAAATTTGAAATTTTAGGGTATAGCCCGAAATTTGGGGTTTCCAGGCGATTTTTCGCCCCGTTTCGGGCGGTGCTCAGGTGTCAATCGGCGGAAGTTATGATAACGAGGTTTTTTTTATATGACTAAATAGCATTTGGAGAGTAGATAATGACACGTTATTTCGAAATTTGAAATTTTAGGGTATAGCCCGAAATTTTGGGTTTCCAGGCGATTTTTCGCCCCGTTTCGGGCGGTGCTCAGGTGTCAATCGGCGGAAGTTATGATAATGAGGTTTTTTTTATATGACTAAATAGCATTTGGAGAGTAGATAATGACACGTTATTCAAAAATTTGAAATTTTAGGGTATAGCCCGAAATTTGGGGTTTCCAGGCGATTTGTCACCGAGATTCGGGTGGTGCTCAAGTGCCATTTGTTGAAAGTGGTGATAATGACGATGTTTTCAGCTTGGATACGTCAAAGTCATTCCAATCAAACTGAGTCTGAAGAAACTTTTGTTCATATCTTACATACACCCCGAGAATGGGAGGCTTTAATGTTAAAAGCGGTGGCACCCACCTTAAATCTAGGGGGTGTAGGTCTGCACGAGACTGTAACTGTGTGCGTAGCACAAAAAATCAACAAAAACCGACAAAAGGCAAGAAGAATGCTACCAGATAAGACGTTGGTGCTATGAAAATATACAGTCTTTATTTGAACAGGCAAAGCACCCAGGGTTAGGGGTTTTCTTGCGGGCGCGGTATTATTCATTGTACAGGCCGGTACATACGATGGCAGTGCAGGTGCGATCTCTCAGTTCGTTTGCTGGCTGGCTTATTAAGCATAACTACCTATTTGCTAACAGACATGTACAGGTCAAACGTTTGCACAATCACCTTGGCGCGCAGAACTTGTTCAGACACTTCCAGGTGCTGGGCGAGCTCCTTGTACCCGTTGTACTGTGCGATCGCCGACCGTTTCTTCTCCGGGTCCTCGCCCTTCAAGTCTGTCCAGAGGCTTTCTCCTAACTTCTCCGCGTCAGCTTTCGCCGCCGGGGTGAGGTCGAACTGACCTGGCCACTGCGGACCTGCTCGTGGTGGAGAAGCGAACATCGCCGGTCGTGATGGAGGAGAGGCTCCCGGGACTTTGGAGCCCGTTGGCGTCGTTAAAGCAGGTGACCCTCCTCCTGCGCCGAGCGCTGGCGCTCCCGGGTAAAAGCCTCCTCCGCCCAGTTGGAACATTTGGGCGAACGGGCCTGCTGCTGTTACTGCCTGTTACCGGTGACGTACCAACCGCCCCCCCCCACACCAGTTACAAGTTCCGTGTCTTTCAATCTGGACCTCAAGCCAGAGTTCCCTCCTCCACAATAAACACAAACAACTTGAACGTAACAACTAGCTCCTACCTGCACGGCTGTCTTCAGGATCTCCCTCATCGCTGCAGCCTCCGAGGCGTGGTGATTGTTAATCTCCTTCAAGGTGTCCGCGTTCTTGTCTAGCATCCTCTGTTGGGCCAGTGCATTATTTTCGAGCATCTTCGCCTGGGCGTCGTGGGCCATTTTCGCAGTCTCGGCAGTGGTCCTTTGGAAAGACTCCGTTGCCTCCTTCAAAAGCGAGTCCCGAGAAGTAAGTGCCTTCGTGTTCTCCTCCAGCAAAGCCTGCTGTGCCTTCGTGTTCTCCTCCAGCAACACCTGCTGCCCTGACCAGAATGAACCCAATGTTGTCTGGTGCTCCACGGCACGAGTCTCCTCCCGTTGCTTCGCCTCGGCCATCTGCATCTGCAGGGCTTCAGCGTGCTTCGTCGTAAGGAGCTCCACTGTCTTACGGTTTTCCTGTCGCTCGGCAGACAGGGCCGAAGCCAGCTGTTTTTCCCCGCGCAGACGTTCATCCTCCACCTTCTTCTGCATCTCTTCTCGAAGGCTCGCCAGTGTCTCATCCGCCTTCTTCTTCTCGGCCTCCACTGCTTCCTTGGCCTTCTTCAGCTCATTAAGGTCCCGCTCGCTTTCTTCACGTTTCCGCTTGTGTGCTAGGGTAAGTCACGAGACAGAATGACGGCGTGTCAGAATGACGAGTGACGGGTACTATGACAGTCACCAATGACAGGCATTTATATGACCAGATGACGAGAGTGTCTGACAGAAATGACTGACAGAAATGCCTGACCCGAAAGTGAGTTTTGAAGGTTGAGAGAATTGGTGGGAAACCATTCCAGAAATGGTGGGAACCATTTCATATTCAAACAGCCACACAGAACTGGAGGGAAACCAGGAGAGCCCCAGTTCTTGCCACATCATCAGATCTATGACTATTCAGTAATTCAGAGCAGAGATCATTGGATGACTGGCAGCTGCAGCCCAAGGGCCAAATGACAAGACCTATCATAGGATATGTGAACATGAAGTGACTGAGCACTGTGACTGTCGAATTTGGATGAGATCTGAGGGAATTCGAGTCGACATGTTACTACTTAAAGAGCTGAACAAGCTTTCATGTCA